AAAATGTAATGCCCACGGAGAGTTCTGGTTCAAGATGGCGAGGAAGGAACCCACCACTCACACTTATGAATGGAACGATTCCTCCTGAAGAAGAGCTGAGGGCTGACTGAGCAGCTTCTGAAGGACCAGAGACAGAATGGCCAAGAGAGACAGAGACATAGTAGCCAAGGGAAACCCCACCCCCAACTCTGAGAATGGCTCGGAGGCGGGACAGGACCCAGGGACCAGGAACAGATCCCTTTGTCCTTGGGCACAGGAGAAAACCCCTATGGTTTAAAAGAACATATAAAAGAGACAACACTAGAATCTTGCCAAGAGACAAAGGGGCTGCAGGAAAGCGCTCCAGGTCAAGGACCACAGAACTACAGGGTTTATATTCCCACCCCACCTTGGAAGTCTGGACCTGAGCAGGGCCTGGACAGCAAAACGGGTGGGTGCAGTCATCCCGGTGAGCTTGGGACCTCAGGGAGCCCAGGGTCCACAAGCCCAGATCAGCCCCAGCCTGCACTGGGACATGGGGAAAAACAAAGCCAGGGCTTAAAAGGGCCCAGGAGCAGGAACAGTCTCTCCCGCTCCGCCTTATTAGCCCAGGCCAGAGCAGGGTCTGGATGCCACAGGGGTGGGTCCAGTTGCCACAGGGAGCTTCTGACCCCCCTTTCCCAGGGCCCACAGGCCCCCACCAGCCACTCTGTGGTGCTGGGCCTCAGAAAACAAGCCCTGGTTTGGGGTTTTGGTTTTTGTTCTAATTTTTACAGTTTTATTTTCTTTTATTTTTACTTTTAAAATGTGTCTTGTTTTTTTTTTCTTTTTGTCTTTTTGGTTTTGTTCTTTCTCTTTCTAGCTCTTTTTATATTCTTTTTTCTTCTCTTTTTTCTGCTTTTATTATTTTCTTTTTTCTTTTCCTATTGCTTTTTCCTTCTTAATTTTTTTCTCTTTACTCTCTCTGTAAAAAGCCAGGGTTTAAAAGAGGAACTAGGGGCTCCTGGGTGGCTCAGTGGGTTAAGCATCTGCCATCAGCCCAGCTCATGATCTCAGGGTCCTGGGATGGAGCCCAGAGTCCTGGCTCCCTGCTCAGTGGGGAATCTGCGTCTCCCTCTCCCTCTGCCCCTTCCCCACTCGCACACGTGCACACACACTCTCTCTTTCTCTCTCTCAAATAAATAAGTAAAATCTTAAAAACAAAGAACAAACAAACAAAGGAGAAACGCAGCACATGGGGCCACAGCTCCAGCCAGCCAGCAGCAGTCAGCAAGCACACACCATCTGCACGGGGGCACCATACACAGACCACTGCTTCACTCCAGGAGAGTAGCCATTTCACCTAATCCTTAGAAACAGACACCGAAAGTCAAGCAAAATGGGGAGACAGAGGAATATGCTCCAACAGAAAGAGCAGTGAGAGAAGCACTGATACCACAGAATTGCAAAAGATTCCAAGAAAATACTGTGATGAGTGACAAAATTGAAAATGGTACATCTGTACTCACTTCCTTACTTGTGGTAGGTCTATTCAGAGTTTCTATCTCCTCCTGGTTCAGTTTTGGAAGATTGGATGTTTTCTAGGGATTGATCATTTCTTCTAGGTTGTCCTGTTTGTTGGCATATAATTTGAGACAACATGGATGGACCTAGAGGGTATTATGCTCAGTGAAATACGTTAGACTGGGAAACACAAATGTTGTATGAAACGGAATCTTAAAAAATGAATAAACAAAAAGCAGAATCAGAACTATAAATACAGAGAACAGACTGCTGGTTGCCAGAGGGGAGGGGCTGAGGGCTGGGCAAAATGGGAGAAGGGGAGAGGGAAATTGAGGCCTCCAGTAATGGAGGGAGTAAGTCATGGGACTATAAAGCGGAGCCTAAGGAATACAGTCAACGATACTCTAATGACCAGGTATCGGGACAGATGGTAGCTACATTATGGTGAACATAGCACGATGTATCAACTTGCCAAATCACTAGGTTGTACACGTGAAACTATGTAACATTGTGTGTCAACTCTACTAAAAAAAGAAAAAGAAAAAGAATATAATTTAGTGGAAGTGGCTATTCAAGTCTTTGCCCACTTTTATTGGGTTAATTTTTTTATTGA